AACTTCATAAGATCAGCTGCTGAAATCAACGATCCTGATTATGACATTTGGATAGCCTTAGCCAGTGTTTTTTTAGAGCTCCTAACGATTTCGAAGCAACGACAACTTGAGCTACTAACCAGGCCAACTATGGTCACAAGAATGGAATGTGGTATAAGCCATTCTGGGCAACCAGGACGACCATCATTCATTATTCCTTCAGAAATGTTAGAAGACCTGCGTGGTTATGGGTTTTCTTGGAATAAGATTGCGCAAATGTTGGGTGTATCTAGATGGACTATACATAGACGTGTTATTAGTATGGGTCTTTCAAATCTGGGAGATTTTGCCTTGATATCTGACAATGAACTGGACCAGCTGATTTATGATTACATAAATCGACATGGAGCTACCTCAGGACTGACATATATTACTGGTTATTTGCGATCCATTGGGTTCCGCATCCAGCGACACCGAATTCGAGAAAGTATGACAAGAGTGCAGCCACGAAATGCAATTCTCAGATGGGGAATGATTGTACAACGTCGAAAATATCGTGTGCCATGGCCAAATTCACTATGGCATTTAGATGGCCATCACTCGTTGATACGATGGAGTCTCGTTGTTCATGGTTGTATCGATGGATTTTCAAGAAGAATCATATATTTGCAATGTAGTACAAATAACTTGTCTGAGACAGTCCTTGTCCTGTTTCTCAATGCCACAGAAGATGATGGAGGATTATGGCCTTCAAGGATTCGAGTGGATAGAGGAGTAGAAAACGTTCGTGTATGTGATGCTATGGTGGAAGCAAGAGGTGAGGGTAGAGGCAGTTTCATAGCCGGGCCATCAACACACAATCAACGAATTGAGCGGTTATGGCGCGACGTATTTCGCTGCGTGCTTCATTACTTTTACTACGTATTTTATGCCATGGAAGATGCTGGCATTTTTTTTCTTGACAATCCCACGCATGTTTTTATATTACACTACGTATTTCTGTCTCGAATTAATCAAGCACTGCAAGAATACAAGCATGCTTTTAACAACCATGGCGTTCGGACAGCCAATAATTGGTCGCCAAATCAAATGTGGCTAAATGGAATGATGAATGCGGAAAATCCATTAGCACACGAGGGACTGGATGACACTCCCGATGACTTACAGTTTTATGGATACGATCCTAATGGTCCATCCCCCTTCGAAGATAGCGACAACAACGTTGTTGTTTCACCTATATATCATAATGAGACCACTGCAGAAATTTTAACCATTCTCCAAACAGTTGATCCCCTCAGACCTTCCACTGAGATGGGAATCGATGTGTATCTTGATGCTCTTGGTTTGATTGAAAACATGCTGAGAGAGCAGACGGAATGAACAGGCATTTTGGAAAACAGGTAGAACATGTAGTTGTAAAACTTGTAAAAAGACTCCTTTACAATAGTTTAATTTATTGGCAACTCTCATTTGTAGCCGAACACAGGGATTCGTATTACATTTATTGTATTTTTTTGTTACAAAACACCACATCTCCTCCTTTGTCTTTTAGACAATGCAATGCAATTGTCTATTTGTTTTCATTATGGCATCACAAACAAATAGGTACACGAGGCGTACATATATCTACATATATCTACACATATCTATAGATACGGGTTCGTTCATTCACGGTTGTTTCTGTGCCACAGTAGATACGGGTTCGTTCATTCACGGTTGTTTCTGTGTCACAGTTGTAGAAGTCGATAATGGGAATATGGGATGTATATGTGATTGCATAATAGTATTGAATAATAGATGAAGAGGGGTGTGGCAAGTGAGGCATCATGTTACCCAGCCTCTGGAACCCCCAACCATCCCAAAACAGTTGAAAATAGTGTGTGAAACATAGCTTGAGAAAATTGAACAAGCTGAAAAAGTCTTTAACATTAATTTGCACTGTACCCTAATGCACCCAACTTTATTATATTACTTTGTATAACACCAGATGATTTAATTGCATTGTCAAAGAGAGTGGATGGGTGAACAACTTTGTCTGAGAACTGGTGAAAATGGCATAACACAAAATAGCGAGAAATTCGTGGGAAGAACACAATAGGTCCATTTATACGAGCAGAATAAGTCACGATCTAAATAAGTCACGATCCAAACAAGCCGCGACCGCGGCACAATAAGCAGCAAACGACTCGTATAAACAGTCGATTTTCAAAAAGCCGCAGCTTACTTACTACTTAGGCGTAATGTACACCACTGGGCTTATTTTGGCCGCGGCTTGCAGACAAATTGACTGTTTATACGATCAGGAGCCGTTCGAAAAAGAGTATCTGGATCATATATCATTAAAAAACAAGATTTTTTTGCAAGATATATATACTTTCCACTAAGAAGGTTCTTCATTAGCTGATATCTTAGAACGTTTTCAAATTTTGTAAACAGTGTCTTAAACGGTGACTTGATTTAACAATTTTAAGTTGCATGCAATAATACCCCACAAACAAGGGTATTTTAACAAAAAAACAACAACAATTATTTGCGTCCAAAATATGCATTTAAAAAAGCCATATCGTACAGTTGAAACAAAGTTTCCTCATCTGGTAAAGCAATCTCAAGAGATGGTGTTGGTAGCAGTAATCTGCAGCAGCATGTATTTGCTGTTGGTATAAAGGATTTATTTTCAGCTACTTCGTGAAATGTCGCAGACGGTTTTACTCCATTTTCATATCCAAGAAGTGGTACCTCCTCATCACAAGTAGCAAATTGTAGTATATTATTTAGGCTAATGCCACTACGATGGCCACCTAAATGGAAATCGATACATTTGTCATTCATTTTTGGCACATGGATTGATAAATAACATACAAAAACGATTTTACTACACTGCTTTTGCGTTTTTTGTTTGAAATAATAAAAATCCACGATTAAATTCTTACTTGCTACACTTCTGAGATATTTCAAAAATGCTGAATACACTTGATTTTCAAACTTCCGTTTGTTACTTCCAACTTCACTAAAATCTGGCTGAAGGAGGGTGGTTAATGACTTCACAGTAAGATTTTTGGATTTCTGGGTTAAGATATGCAGAAAATTGGGTAACCGAACGGCAACCTATACCAACAGAAAGTGCGATTAAATATTACGCGAAACATTATTCTGTATTCGCATATATTTTCCATGCAATCTAAAATATTTTGGATCACCTGGTATAACCCCAGTTTTTTGAAACCCATACGGAGGTGAAGGATACATCCATCTACATGAGCTGTTCCAAATATATCTGCAGCATAATAATCAAGGAAATACGGAATTTTCCCATCCTGCAGGATACTCAGCCCTATAACAAATGAGCAAAGGACATGCAGACCTTATGTTATTGCTGTTGGTTTGGACTCAAAACGACTGGTGAACATATAGTTCGGAAAAGGGTGTGATCCCTCCTTTTAAAAATATCTCCCCCCTTTAACCAATGTCTTCCTTTCTTTTCAATTCCCCCCTCTCCCTTACAACAGCATTTTTCAGAGAGCAAAATTTGACAGGTTGACATCTGCAAATGGTGCAGAATTAATATTAGGGTTATGTGATATCCAAAGAAACTTCCGTAACAAAGGATGAACGGTCACAGATAAAACATTGTCTATTCTTATGACAAAGTTCAATGTTTTTACCGACAAAGTTCAATGTTTGTGACGACATTTCATGGTTTCAATTTGCTCAGCCAATCAGCTTGGAGCTGGTTGAACGTAATTGGCTGATCAGATTTAGCCTGCGTAGCGGCTCTGTCCTTTCTCTGATAGCTGCTACGCAGGCTAGATCAGATTAAAACATGTCAAGTGCTCTGGACAAACATTGAACTTTCTCGGTAAAAACATTGAACTTTGTCACACGAATAGGCAATGTTTTTATGAGGGACCGTTCATCTAAGGTTGCAAGCGACAGTAATCAACATGAATTCAACATATATTTAGAGCTCAACATATCAAAATCATTTTATGTCACAATATCAAAAATCTTGAAATTCAGTGCACAATTATACACTTTTGAAAAAATGCTTATTCTACATTTTTTTTTACTCATCCTCCCTTTTAAATCAACACACCCTTTTTCAGTAACTCCCATTATTACAAAAAAATTCCATCCCCCACCATTGTTATACAGTATGATAGTTCTGCTTGGTTCCACTAAGCACATGCACCCATTGGGCTATTGGTACTCTGCAAACTAAATCAGCTACAAAACAACAGAACGCAATACCTAATATAATTCCAGCAGTTACATAATCCTCTGATATATGTTGCTTTAAACCTTTCTCAAAGTAGCTGCGGTATATTTCCCTAACAACAAGAGAGAAAAACTCTTTTCTTGGACCGCCATAGTCTTGCGCTTCCTAGTAAACCAAATTATTTCATTCATATCAGTTAAAAGAAGTTTTCAATAATTTCTTCTGGATGAAGACATAATACATACAAATGATCAGATCATGTAAATATGTCCGTCAATAATACATAAAGAATACCCAAATGTGTTCTAACAATATATATCCTAACATATTCAGAAGTAGCTCGGGCATTTTAACCCATTGAGTGGCAGTGCTCTCTCATTGACGAGTAAAATCGTCTGGCATTAGACAGAGTAAAACAATAAAGTTAGGCGGCATGTAGTAAAACACTGACTACCGGAACACCGGAACACCACCGGAACACCACCGGAACCCCACCGGAACCCCACTGGAACACCACCTAACCCTAACCACCTAACCCTAACCCCCAACCCTAACCCCTAATCCTAACCCTAACCCCAAACAAAATGGTGGTGTTCCGGTGGTGTTCCGGTGGTGTTCCGGTGGTGTTCCGGTGGTGTTCCGGTGGTGCTCCGGTGGTGTTCCGGTGTTCCGGTAGTCAGTGTTTTACTACATGCCAAGTTAGGCGCATCAGAGCGCATTGCCACTTAAAAGGTTAAATAAAAAATATTATCTATGTTACTCACTTCACCGTAGAATTGCACTTCAAGAGTTTTTCGCAAACATGCCAACGACTTAACTTCTTCGAAAGCTGTCTCCAAAATGTTATATCTGTCTACCATTATGAAATTGGTGTCCCCCTCTTCAACAACTCCACTATCCTGAATCCTCAGTGCTCGTCCTTGGACAACAACCTTTTGGAAATATCTTAGTATTTCAACACCATCTTCAATGTTGTGTTCCACACAATAACGCACAATTTCGTCTGCCAAACCATCCATAACATTCACATCATCAGCAACAGCATCATCGTCAGCCACCACAACAATGGAGCTGCTCTCACTACTAGAAACTGGTACTGGGTTGGTTGAGGAGGATGAATTACCAGTGGGATTGCTTTCAGTATTTGTCAAAGCGGACTGCATTAATTCTATCAGCAAAAAAACAAATTGCAAGTTGCGTGTGAAGTGAATCAAAATTGCACAAATACAGGGACACCAGAAGATAAAAAGAACAGGGACATCGGAACAATAACAGGGCACCAGGGGCAGACTTTCTTCAAAGAAGACTTTCTTCAAAGGGCACTTTCTCTCATATCCACATTTAGGTCCATCAGAACATGTGGCTCAGGGTCCCCCCAATAATTTTGTAATCTGCAAACATGTAAATGTACATTTGATAAAAACATTATTACTGTACAAATCATATGAAAATCAACTTCAAAAATCAAAATCCATTGAGCAAAGAACAATAATGTCATTTGTCGTTGAGAAAATTGTTTTGTCAGTAGATAATTGTTGCCCCCCCCCCCCTACACATTCCTGCATACCTGGTTATGAATATGAAATGTTTAAAATGGCAAGCATTGCATATTTTGTGAATGGCCCCATTATTGACTGTAGTGTCAGAGTCTTACAAAAAAGGCATTGGAAAATTACACCCTTGACAAGTATAATGATTATCATACAGAAACTTCTTACTGATTTTCAGCGTTACACTATTAAATAATTAGCATTATATAAAATACTATAACATCAATAGTGGTGAAGCCAGCCCTTTGGTGTAAAGAAATTTTCATAACATGATTTATTTAATTAACAAAGTGGCTATATCTACGGGTCCGTAAACAGACTTCGCCAGGCTATATTTACGGCACTCTATGTACCGAACCGGCACTATAAAGGCCTGATTCCACGAGCGCTTTTCGTCGGCGAAATGCGAAATATTTCGCGTGTTTCTTTTGAATTGCGACCACTCGAATAAATTATTTCTATTTGATTGCTCACAATTCAAAAGAAACAGGCGAAATATTTCGCATTTTGCTGACAAAAAGCGCTCGTGGAATCAGGACTTTAAGCGTATTGTTTACAAAGGATTTCAGCGAGCTCGAAAATAGCTCAGAAGGTTAGGCAAGTGGCTGCTGTGTTGTAGTCCGCGGGTTCGGATCCGAGTTTGTGATGGTTTTTTGTTCGCCTTAACAAAACATGTTTAACTTTTTTTTCTGACTAGTTTTAATTTTTTTAGGGGTTAGGGTTAGAGGTTAGGGTTAGGGGAAGGATTGGGGTTAGGGTTATTTTTGTTTTAATTTGACTTTAACGATAAATACAGGCCGTATGGAGACTAAGAACGAGAGTGCCGTAAATATAGCCTGGCGAAGTCTGTTTACGGGCCCGTAGATATAGCCACTTCGTTAATTAAAGTGTCACAGGGTGGTGCCAGGGGAGGCTACAGCCCTCCCCCCCTTCAGGGAACCAATTGGAGAATGTGTAACTTGTTACATTTTACCTCACGACTTATTTCATTTTCCGACGGGGAGCTAAGGTTCCCCGACAGGGGCTGTAGGTCCCCAGCCCCCCTCTGGTGCCAGCCATGAATTGTCGGGCTGGCTTCGCCACTGAATATTAATGATACTGTGATACAATGCTAATAATCAAGCCTGAGAGATCAGTTGGCAATGTAAGTTCCTTCACTAGGTTTCTTTTCAAGCCATCCACACCCATTTTGCTGGAAATTTTGAGAGCACCCACCCTATGTGCCTATATTCCCGGCGTACTTATTCGATGAAAAACGATCATCGGAAATCCAATCGATCAATCAATGGCAATCGATGTTACTTACTTAATTGATACCGATTGACATTGGCCAATTGATGACCAATCGATAGTCACAAAAAGTTACAGTATGGCCAATTTTATTGATTATTATCGATATTCATCGATTTTCGTCGATATTTTACATCGATTTGTATTGACAAAATGCTTTCGATTTTTATTAAATACTAAATAGACATAAAATATTAAATACCTGTTTCATCATCAACACTTGCATCATCTTCTAATAAGCAATATGCCCAATCTTTAAGTTTTATGTATACAGCGCCTTGGCCCGCCAAAAGCTTGATTTGCTTGAAGTCAAAGCTGCCACAGTTAACAGGCTTGGACAACTTCCTGCGAGTGGCTCGTAAAAATTGCAAATCATCATTGGAAATATTTGCATATTTCATTCGGACCGCCTTGCCGATTTGCTCACGAATTTCGGTTTCCTTGCATGCGCTGTCAATTTCTATTAGACAGATTTAGATCGAGGACGCGAACGTCAAAGACGACGTGAAAATGTCATCAAAATGGCGTGGCATATCCATACATGGGCACAACACGCCATTTTCACGTCGTCTTTGACGTCCGCGTCCTCGATCTAAATCTGTCTATTATCCCACGCAACAGAACTTTATCTTCTGATAAAGACCATGGCATCGGCTCGGTGTCTTTGACTTCTACCAACACAAATTCATAAACTTTGGCTTCTTCTTTTCGTTTTTTTAACGTTGGGTTAGAGGCAGACTGGCTACTGCCGGCTGTTGCTCTTAAACGTTCTCTACGCCCAAGTCGAGTAAAGGCGCCATTTGAAACAGAACGCGATATCATTGCACGCGCGCGATTTAGCACTGAACCAACGGTCGTTGATGTAGAAGTCGACGGAGATGTGCCACTTGAATTTGCTACAGTCGAACTCTGCGATGTATTAGACTGATTCGAGGGCGCAATGAAGGAAGTCAAGATGGAATTTGCCTCCCGAAGATGACGAGAAAGCTGCTGCATTCGATTGTCTTCGGCCATTTTGTATTATTTACAAACTGAGATTCCAACACACGTGCAAGAACCACGTGACTTCAGAAGCTTGGTAACCGCGCAGTATTGAATTGAATAAAAATTTCTTGAATTGAATAAAAATTTCTTGAATTGAATAAAAGTTTCTTGAATTGAATAAAAGTTTCTTGAATTGAATAAAAGTTTATTGAATTGAATAAAAGTTTATTGAATTGAATAAAAGTTTATTGAATTGAATAAAAGTTTCTTGAATTGAATAAAAGTTTCTTGAATTGAATAAAAAATGTATTGAATTGAATAAAAAATGTATTGAATTGAATAAAAGTTTCTTGAATTGAATAAAAGTTTCTTGAATTGAATAAAAGTTTCTTGAATTGAATAAAAGTTTATTGAATTGAATAAAAGTTTCTTGAATTGAATAAAAGTTTCTTGAATTGAATAAAAGTTTATTGAATTGAATAAAGGTTTCTTGAATTGAATAAAAGTTTCTTGAATTGAATAAAAATTTCTTGAATTGAATAAAAGTTTCTTGAATTGAATAAAAGTTTCTTGAATTGAATAAAAGTTTCTTGAATTGAATAAAAGTTTATTGAATTGAATAAAGTTTCTTGAATTGAATAAAAGTTTCTTGAATTGAATAAAAGTTTCTTGAATTGAATAAAAGTTTCTTGAATTGAATAAAAGTTTCTTGAATTGAATAAAAGTTTCTTGAATTGAATAAAAGTTTCTTGAATTGAATAAAAGTTTCTTGAATTGAATAAAAGTTTATTGAATTGAATAAAGTTTCTTGAATTGAATAAAAGTTTCTTGAATTGAATAAAAGTTTCTTGAATTGAATAAAAGTTTCTTGAATTGAATAAAAGTTTCTTGAATTGAATAAAAGTTTCTTGAATTGAATAAAAGTTTCTTGAATTGAATAAAAAATGTATTGAATTGAATAAAAAATGTATTGAATTGAATAAAAAATGTATTGAATTGAATAAAAAATGTATTGAATTGAATAAAAAAAGTATTGAATTGAATAAAAAATGTATTGAATTGACTAAATATTTATTGAATTGATAAATAAACTTGCTTACTGAATATTGCTACCATCGGCTTGCCATACATGGTACTAATGCATATGCATGGCCATTGGAAATTACCATTCTCGTTCGTGGACTTTGGCCTTGGCCTCTAATGAGTTTGTGTTTCAGACTTACATGAGATAAAAATCCTAGTAGAACAAAATTCATGTAGTAGAACAAAAATAGTAGAACAAAATTCATGTAAACGAGTTCATAATAGACCTTGGAAAATGAATCAGAAGAAGAACAAAGGTTTATTTGTTGCCTAAGCGTGTTTGAAGGTTAATTTACAACGGTTTTTTTATAATAATAATAATAATAAAATAGACGCTCTCTGACCAAAAATATATATTTATTACAAGCTTTCGGCTATCAATCTGTAGCCTTCAACGGGTATGAGTGTATGAAATATGAAACTATAGTCTATTATTGTATATACAGAAAGATTAGCATAATTGCGTATGAAATATG